CGTTCTTAATTATCCTCATTCCTGATGTTCATTGCCATTATTGCACATGGATCTGTTATCTATGAGATGTAATTTCCTCTTATCTTATTTGTCCTTTTATTAACTAAAATTATAATATTTTGTTGTACAATAAAAAATATATTAATAGAAATTAGAAGAAGTTACATACACCAAAAATATCAAACAACCAATACAATTTTTAATAATATTACAATTTATTATTATATTTTTTATCACTAAAATTATAATATCTATTCACTCAATATAAAGGATGTAGCAGGAAGGCTGCATCCTATACAATGTAATATTTTTTAGTTTATTACATGACTATTATTAAACTAAATACGATTAAGAAAACACCTATACTCTAATGACATGTTAATGACGCAATGCTGATGTACATTTTGACACAAACACTAGGAAGTGAGATTACTCCGTGGGAAACAGCTCACATGCCCTAATTGCTAAACTATTGGCTTTTACTCAAATCTGTATAGCTGTCTCATGAAAGTAGCTACACACATTACCCTGTGATCAAGATCATAATGCAGCGTGTGTTATCTCTATTCTTCATAATCATGATAATCAACACAACCTTTTCATTGGGACATGGTATCTGACTATGTGTTAGTGTAGCTTATTAACTTGTGCTTTTTTTTAATGCATATGATCTTAAGCATTTGGTTTACAAATATTTTATTAAAATATTTCAGTTATGAGTGTAATATTTATATTTTGTTAGAATAAAAATTTATACGTAGTCATTATATCATGCATAATTTATTTATATTTTTTTTAAAGAGAGTCAATTAATTACGATTAAACATGAAAATGACGAATGATAAAATAATTTAGTTATTTAATGAATTTAAGAATTCATACTTAATTAATATATTAATATTGTTTCGTTACGGCTGACAAAATCCTCAAAATGAGATTTTTGTGGTGTTTGAGGAAGAATGATTTGGGTCACAGAAGTTACTCTAGAATTATATGTGACACTTGTGTAACATTATGTAGCATTATTGCATTATTCGTCTTAATTTTCAACCAAACACAGATAGAGGGAAAATAAAAGTAAAAAAGAAGGGAAAGAAAATAGGAAATAGCGAAAAGAAAAGGGAATCTAACCGCTGACTTCTTCATATGGTTTTGTAATATCTTGCTTTTTTATATTGTGATGGCCAAAAGCTGAAGTAAAGTGATTCAACTGCACATTTTGTTAGTACAAGTGTGTTCTTTCACTATCATGGGTTTCCCTAGTGTCTTTCAAACTCAGTCTATGTCATACCAGCAATATGGTAGACAAAGACTTTCATGTCCATTATCTTTCTTACTATAACCCGAGATATAGTGCCCAACTTCATTTTCATAATGCTTGGCGTTTCTAATTTATTTCATTTCTGTAGTTACAATTATTGAAACTTACTATTTCAATATTCAAAATATGATAATATTATCACATCCTATATCTATATCCTCCTGTCTTTTTGTCTTTTTATATAGTTTCATGCACATAAAGAAAGATAAAAATATCATTAAATTTGTTAACGATTATATGTAATTTATTAAAATTGACATTTATTGATGACACAAAATTACTTTTTATTTTTACTCAAATTATTTAAATAAATAAGTGTATTTTTTGGTAATAAATTCATTTATGACAGAGAGAACTTTGAAAAGTATCTACACTATAACAGAACAAAAACTTATTAAAAGGACCCTATATTACTTACAATGATGTGCCATGCTAGTGCAGGTATGTCATATTTAGAATATACAAAGAACATTTCCTTTTCTTACCCCACCCATTATTTGACTGTTTCTTATAGAGGACAAAGTGCCAAACAGTATAATTATAATCATTAACCTTTTTTGAATCTTAGCATCATTATACAATAATGGAAAAAATATGTGTATAAATTAACTAGGTTAATTCTATGTGTATAAAATATGTGTTCAAAAGTGATAAACTCTAATGGAAAATGATATATTCTTCTACTAAATCTTTCTACTAATCCTCCTACTCACAAAAAAGTGGCATATGTCACAAAGTGATACTTTATTTATTATTGATTGATTTACAAGTGACTCATGTCACTTTTTTGTGGGTAGTAAGATTTAGTATGAAGATATAATATTACTCAACTCCAATATATTAGAATGTGAGAGGAGATATAAAATTATATATTTTAAATTTATTTAATTAAAAAAACTGAACCTTTAAAAAAATTGGTACTACGTATCAGTATCTAGGCCTAATATTGGATTCTCTCCTTTATATGGTGGAACCTTTATATGAATGAATAAATTTTTGACTGCAGTGATGTTTTTGTTAAGAAAGGAAAGGAATGTTGCATGAACGAGTAGAATTTGCAATTGTTGAACTTTTTCTCCTTTTCTTCCCATCTACTGTGACCACTCAAAAATTTCAAACGTGCATGCCACTAGAATTTGTGGAGTTTACACTGGAAATCAAGTGACGGACAATGGCTGGACTTGAAAATTTGTTCAGTAGATGCCATGACAAATTTTTGTTTGCTTTTACCAACAAGACTCATTACTAAATAATTGAACTCCTTAACCATTACCTTAAAAGTTCATTTTCTATTAAAACTATGTTGGTAAAGAAGAAAAAAATCACCCTCGTGATCCCTGCTTTCAGATACTAATGTCAGCGTGGGGCAGTGACACTAGCACTTGATACATCTAGGCAAAATTTTCTTATATGTGATGTGAAGTGAGAATGTATATGTTGTCTATGGACAATGTTTTAGTTTGTTATGGTGTGGTTCACTTAGCTTATGAGAGACAGGGAGATGAAGCTTTTTTTTTTCTGGTGGCAAAATGACACTTTTTGGAACAAAGATTATATGCTAAAGAAAATTCATATTTCTACACAATCTAATTTTAATGATTAATATAAAAATATTAATTTATGTTTTTTATAACTTTTTATTATCATAATTTGGTTATATGTGACAATTCTCGAAGTTCCACAATTTGATTGTGTGTACTAATTCTAGTATCACGGAAATAAAGAGGGAGAAAGTAAACCAGAAAGGCTTCAAGAGAGAGAGAAATTTTTTTGAGGAAATGCTCTCAACTAGGACGAAAATTATAAAATGGGGATACCTCTATTTATAGGTTGAAACCCTCAACAGATAAGTCGATCTGACAACCCATAAGGAAGATCTCGTCCCAAACAACTACTTGATCTAATAGTCAGGAGAGAGTCCCACAGTCACACGACCGTGACTTCCTCCTCTTTGACTGATTCTCTCCCCCATTTTTCTCACTCTCCAACCTTATGCTTACTCAGTCACACACACGTGTCAAACGTGTGTTGACTTGGTGAGCCACACGTCTAAAAGGAAAGAAAATATAAAAAAAAATTGTTAGGTGCGAGCAAGTTGACCAGTGAAGGTGGTGCACACGCATGGAGTGGTTTTTGTTTGTAAGTCTCCACTAACGACAAAACTCATTGTACCTCTTAAGACACGTAGAGTACTAAAGGATTACATAGCATTTGCAAGTAGATATTCCATCCTATATAAGTCTTAGGATTTTTTTATTTCACACACAAAATCCTCCATTAATTTGCCAAGTTCCAACAACCCTAGTTGGGTTGAATTATGTTAAGCTCAAAATTCACTATGTACACTTCAAAGATTGAAACCTTAAGATGGTAACTAAAGAATGTAAAGTTATATTGACAAATCTAAAATTTAACTAAATATCAGCCATGTTATTTTTTTGCATTTTGGGTTGTAGTCTTGTAGAGAATGCTAATAAGTATTTAAAAACCTTCTTTAAGAGTGAAAATAAACTTTTATAAGAAAGTGATATGTTTAATTAAGTGTTGAAAAATGATTAATCGTATATATTTTGTCTTATGTGTTTCCATCCTTAGCTAGGTGGTGTTGATTACTGAATCATGTGAGTCAAATTGGACGCACTAGCTTGTGGGGTTAGCTGCACCTTGGGCCAATATCTACCCCATATCCATTCACTCCAATCTAGGTTAATGCCCCACTACACACTACACACTACACACTACACACTACACACTACACATATGCTACTATCATCTTTCCAACCAAACCCTCTCCTAATAATAAGGTAATAAATCCCAAAAGTTGCCCGTAAAAGCTTCCTTCGGTGTTGATCTGCGTAGTGAGAATATTACTTAATTATCTCTAAACACAAATTTTCTATCCCACAAACTAGCCACGTGCACATATGCAGAGAAGCAAACCCCGTCAAACCCTCTACCATTTATCTTTTTTGATTTTTCATCCATCAACAAATGAATATGAAAATTCCAAAAGCATTGGAAACCGAGTTAGTGGAGTTTTTTTCATTCCCCACGAACATGCTCTTAACCACTTTAGACCAAGAAGTTCAAGTTTTCAACTCAGCCATTTTTCCCTGTATTATAAATGATAAAAAATTACAATATAATCAAAAGCTAAAATTTCCTCAATATAGATAAATATTTAATTTTAGTTATCTATACTAAATATAAAGGCAAAACATAAAATAATTACCACAATGGTGTAATTTCTATTTCCTATTTCACCCATATATTTTTTATTTTCTACAAAAAAAACATATAATCATAAGTAATTACCATTAACACATTAATCACCTATCTCACATTAAATTGAATTATAATAAATAATTTTTTTAAACATAAAATACTTTTAATAAAAACCTTCTTTTAAATTGAATTATGTTAAGCTCAAAAATAAAAATACTTTTAATAAATAATTGTATAAAATAAAATATATACAAATTGAATACTTAATACGAATGCCGGGTTTGCAATTGTGTCTATCAACATGCTAGTATTTTTAATATCAAAAGTATTGTTCCATTATATATTAAAGGATAAAAATGTATTATGGTCTTATATTTTACTTGGATTTGTTTGTATAACGAGGAGGATAATTAATCTTTATATATGACCCATGACATCCTTGTCCCTATACTTACTCTCCCTTTCAAATAATTCTTCTAAACCTTATAGCATATTATATAGCTCAAGATATAGCTTTTTGCCATTTCCATTTTTGAGCTTTGGTTAGCTTTGTTACTCATTCATAGCTTTTCCTTGCACCCACATCCATGAATTCTACAAGGGAGTCTCCGAAAGTTCAGTTAGCGACGGTGACGGAGGATGCTCGCTCCGGCGTGGACCGTGGCAGTGTAGGGTGGAAGGGTTCTTCTACAAAGAAGAACCAAAGGTGAAGATGATGAAAGAACCAACATGACACAGGCTTTGCAATTACACTCTCCGAGTTTCTAGCCCACCATCAAATATAAGGTGCAGAAATGGTAGAGTGTGATCATTGCATTGCGGGGAATTGAGGGTAGTGGTCCGAATTACCTTTAACTTTAAGTACTTATTTCTTGGTTTTCTATTATGTTTTCTTTAATTTCTTAAGTATTTCCCACTGATTTTATCTTTGCTTTTTTGTTTTACATTTCAATATAATTATGCTTATGTTTGATTAAAGCATGGGATGTAAGAGATGCATACGAGGTTGCTGGGGTAGGTTATGGTGTGTTTGGTCAAAGGGGTAGCATGATAGTTTTGTCTTATGCTTGGAGGGTTAATTTAGGGTCTCAATGCAGCTGGCATGCATCATTTACACTCATCAATGTAGCTTTGTCATGAGTTTGGTATAAGGGAAAGTGACTTTGGTTTTCTAAATTTCGTTCTTCTTTATTGTGTCACTCTTCAGCTTTTGATTTCTCTTCATTCCATAGGAGATGCAAAGTAGACAATGATGATAAGTTACCAAACGACCAGAAGAAAATAAAAAAGAATGAGAAAGAGGCAAAGTAATTCAAAAAAGCAGATTATGATGCTTTTTTGGCCAAAGAAAGGTGTACACTTTGGACTTTAACATCTATCTTGATTTCAAAGTTAATAGAATCAAACAATTGATAAATGAGTATCCCCAGCATGAATTGGATCGTAAGAAATGAATCAAATTTATGGATAAAGAAATGAATCAAAATATATACATGACAGTGTCCTTAACCTATAAAGCAAAAGAAAGGCATATTGTACAATAAGTGGTATTATTGTATAAACATAATTTCGCACTACATTTTGACTATATGGTTAGATATCTGATAAGAAAGACAGGGTAATGATGTTGAAAAAGAACAAAAAGAGTATCTCTTTTCTAATGATGCCCGGGACATATTGTACAAACGGTTCTCCTAGTGCAGGTAACGGAAGGTTAAGTTGACAAATTTGCTTTGCCTTAACCTATAAAGCAAAAGAAATAAGGAAAATGATTTGTGAATTTTAGAGGAACATATATACAAAGATAATAAATGTATGTGAGAAATAGGTATAAAAAGTTTGTTGTTTAAAAAATGAAACTCAAGAAATAAAGTGTCTTCAACAATAGTGGAGATGTATATCGCATTAAACATTAATGAAATCGGGCAAGCAAATTATGATTGAGTGTTTATAATGTCTTTTTTTACCTAAGGAATGTGGAACTAAGGTTAAGAAAGAAAATAGTACGGCAGCAACTAGTAGTCCTGGTAAAACCAGAAGAGAAACAGCTTGTGGGAATTGAAGTAAACTCAAAAAAAATTCGCTTTGTTAAATTCAATTTTAGAGACTAAATCGATTTTTTTTGGGCAAGTAAAATTTATTCAATGGATGTAATAAGAGAATTACTACAATAAAAAAAACACCAGAATTCATAATACTTACAGAACAAAACACAACAGTAAATGGCACAGGTAAGAGACTAAATCGATTAACAGTCGTAGACTGTTGTTTTTCTTCATAAAGCTAGGGACTAATATGTGCTATAGTGATAATTCTAAACACTAAATTGATGTTACAAATGATGTCATTTCAAACATGGTTTATCACATATACGGCAAGTAATGTGTCACATGAAAAATTCTCGTCCAACTATAATTAACGCTCATTAACACGATAGTTATTAAAGTCATGGAGTAATCTGTCTTTTTCATGAAATCAGTGATTAATATGAGTAACATGACAATTTTTTAGAACTTATATAACTGTGCTTAGGATACCACAGCTGTCATGGCACCAGAGATTCACCAGCAATGTACAAAATGGGATCAGGGGAGAGTGGCATATCATAGAGTATTTTCTTTCATTTTTGAAGCAATTGTCTCTCCCGACAAGTCTTTAGTGTTAGCAACTATATTTAGGGGTACATCATCATTCATAATGGAATTTTGGTGGTCCATTTTGGTCCTGATATTTCCTTGTAGTTGCATAGCTAGCTTACAGATTCAAGTGGCCCACACTGTTAATTGGATCATTTCATCAATTAATTGGCTCATATGACATCACATGGCACTAAAAACAATCTTATGAACAAGTCCTTGTTTCACTAATCAACAAACATGCCACATTAGACAATGAGTCATTGTTTTAGCCTCAACATTTACTCATTGATGCTGATATGAAAATCTTCCCAGAATCAAGAATGGTTATTCTGTTTTTTCTTCTTATTTAAATTAGAGCTTTCTAAATTTTATTGCATCATAGTGAACCGACCTAACTCAAGCATAATTATCTTTGGTTGGTATATGATACATTTGGTTTGAACCAAAAAAATTTACCAGACCATTTGTCCTGCACATTTTGGGTCCCTTTGACTTCTTCTATTTTCTCAAAGCATCATCTAATTCGGTACATTTAACATCTATCATCGATTATCTTTCCAGAGAATGAAAACAAAAAACAAAAATTACTTTTTTTAGATTTATCCAGAGATTCTGAACAGTTTAGAGCACTTTCACTTTTGATCGTAGAAATTTTTGGAAGAGAACTTTTTGGTAACGTGGAAAGCAAAAAAAAGTATACTCTTATTGAAAAATTATGAAGTCTAGTCGATGGAGATTCTTTCAAGAAATTAAATTATTCCATTATTGAAAAAGAAAACTCAAATTCTTTTTATACACAGCTTTAAAAAGATAACGTATTCCGAAAATCTAAAACACATGTAACACCCCATGTTTGGCTAATTAATGTTATATTGCTATTTTCTGTCCTTACTATACGCAGGTATGACAGTTAACAAACCAAATCTTACTTCTGTAACGAAAAGAGTCTATTTTGGACAGTTAAATAGGGAGAAAATGTAGAGTACACTCAAGTTGAATAGTAAGTATAGTCTAATAGATGTAACTTTAAATTCAATACTAAGATGATTTCAAAAGTTTTCTAATAAAATATTTGGAGTTTGGTAGAAGGTGCGCAATTTGGTTTGGAGTTTGGACAATGGGTTTTGGTTCTTAATTTTTGGAGTTAAATAGAAGAGATGGTCATAACTTTCTATAATAGGGATATATTGTTGATAAGTTTCAATAAAACAATTGGTAAATTTATAATTTATGGATAACATAAAAAAATCATCATATAAAAATGTAGAGTCCCATCAAGTGTCCCAGATTTAATATCGAAATAAGGGGATTGATCAGAAACTGGCCAATTCCACAGTCGCGGTCATTGTGTCATTATAATTCCTTTTGATTAAAGGTAAATCACATGGCCATCACTTGCCCAAATTCACTATGTGGTGCACATGAAAAGAACCACAAAACCTTTCGAGGTTATCCCCCACTAATTTTGAGCTTCATTACCATAAGTTGCAAAAGGTTTTTAGTATAAAAAAGAATGTAAAAGTTAAAAAACACTGTCAATCATAACTACTATTAATTCCAGGCTTTTTTATCCACCTTGTAATATTCTGGTACATATTTATCATTATCTTCAGCAGATGAATACATCATCTGGTCCGTTGACCTTTTTTCTTTTCATTCTGATGTCGGGGACAACCTTTTCCTTTTCTGTAATAGTTAATCAACAAATTTTTCAAATAACTTTACTATCTTGTTGTCAAAAAGCTAAAAGTCAATTAAATCTCGAATTGGATTATTGCTCCTCTTTTTTTAGGTATTACTGAGTTAAATTACTAAATGTGCTCCACTTTTTTTACATTACAATTTTATTTAAATTGAGAGCATGTAACTAAAAACAGAAAGTATAGTAAATCAGGGAAATTATACAATGTTCTTAATAATGTCTCCAATTATTAACCATAAACAAAGGAGTCCAAAATTTACAGCATAAGAAGCACCTTCAAAAAATCCCTTCAGCAAAAATACTCCAATACCATTTTTTTATAAAAATCTATCCTATTGAAAATAAACTAATATTAGAGGAAGAAAAAACCGTAAACTCTGCAGAGTGAAACCCACCGCGAAGGTAGATAAAAGCGGATGGTAAAATTGGAACAATGGAATATTCGGTGGATAATGGTGTCATTTTGAATAAATAAAACGACGGCGCATCACCGCATAGAGAACCAGGAAACAAGTTCGCGACCGACACGTGCCTCCGTGAGAGCCATGCGCTCGTCGGAGATAAGCGCAGAACGACAGAGTGGGCAATTGAACTTGAGGTGGTGGAGCCAACCGTCAAAGCATCGGCGGTGAAAGACGTGGCGGCAAGGAAGCATACGAACCTGGTCGCCATCCATGAAGGTGTTCTGACAGAAGACACAGTCGCTGTTGTTGTTGTGACTGTCGGCGGTGGTGGAAAAGGTGTAGAAGAAGTGGTTGTTGAGGGAGAGCTGATCGGAGAGGATGATGAGGCCGGCGAGGCCGGATCCGACGGCGGAGAAGAAGCCGTCGTGGACGATCTGGTCGGAGCGGAATCTGGAGAGACCGAGTGATTGGAAGAGGGTGAGAAGGAAGGAGCGGAAGTAGTTGAAGTAGGTGGCGATTTGGGCTAATAGAAGCAGAGGAATCGAACCTGACGACATGTCGTTTAACTGGTTTTGTAAACCCATCTCTTTCTCTATCTTTTTCCTCTGTGTTTGGTTTTGGGATTATTGTCTTCGAATGGATGAAAGTGTGAAAGAAGGAAGAAGAAGAAGAAGAAGAAGAAGAAGAAGAAAACGATGAAGATAGGTGTATCTGTACTGTGTGTGGTTTGAGAGAGAAGTAAAAGGTTCTCTCGCACCTATAAAAAGGGCTTTTAGTTGAGGAAATGAGAATATGAGAGGAAGCTGACAGAAATGGGGTAAATTAAATTAAAAAACCATAGAAGATTTTAATTTTTTATTTAATAACTCCTAACAATAAATTACAAGCATATTTATATATTCTTAATTTAAAGATTCATACGTAGTTAATAGATGAACGATGATTACATTATTTGCACTATTATTTGTGTTGAATATTAAATAATAAATGATAAAGTATAATATTCATAAATGATAAGTTTTCTCTCTAAAAAATAAAAGAGAAGCCATTATCATCATCTTACATATGAGTTAGACTCCTCTCCACTAATTGAAAAGATAATGTTTTTTTCCTTTGAATTTTAAGGGTTAAGTTGTAATCTCACTTTAAATAATAAGTGTATATGGTCATATCATTTTAAATGTATATTGTCTTTTGTTTGGAATTCCACATCACTTTCCTCTCTATTACTAGGAGTCCCACTCCTTCTATAGGGCCTCAAGTTTTACCCTCTTGCAATTCATTCAAACCAAAAAGAATAGAATACACAAGTCTCCATCATCACACCCCTCATCTCCTCTTCAACCCCAAAACTCTCCAATCAACAAGAACAAAGAGAATAATAAATGGCAGAGCTAAATCCAATTAGAAGTGGTCATATGGCAACAAAACATGTAGTTTCATTAGTGTCGTTATGTTAACCATACTTATTGAATTAAATTATTGGAGAGTTTATGTGGTG